AAAGCGCCCAGAGTCACCTGAATCATACGATCTTTTGTCACTTCCGCCTTAGTTTCGGTCAGTCACACAGCCCCAGCCCTGTGTTTCTCACTAGGCTAATAAGGCTGGTGACAGACGCTTGTTGTAGGTCCTCTGGTTCCAGGAAAGCCTGGCCCCAGATTTTATAGCGACGGAGTGCTAATAGGGGGCATTCACATAAAATGTGGATGACGCCCTCCTTATCGCCTCCGCACAGTCTGCAGTCTTCTTGTTCTGCAAGTTTCATCTTGAACAGATGAGCTCTGAGAGCTGTATGACCCGTAAGGAGCCCTACTGCTACCCTCAGATCCCCTCTGTGCAACTCCAGAAGCTTTCTGGTCCTAACTCTTAGTTGCCCTCTCATAAGCAGTTTCGCTTGTCTGCAGGTCGCAACTTTCTCCCAACGCCTGACATGATCCCGCTGGAAATGATCTTTAATAAGAGTTTTTCCCACTGCGAAGGGCATGCCAAGCAGGCCGTGTGAGGGCACACTTTCTGTACCCTCCTTGGCCAGCTTATCTGCCTCTTCATTACCCAGAATCCCATGGTGACCTGGCACCCAGGTTACGGTGACCCGGTTGTTTTTACCCAGTGTGTCCAATGCCTGCATGCATTCCCACACCACCTGTGACTCTGTAGTGGGTTTTTCCAGGGCGTGTATCGCCGCCTGGCTGTCACTGCAGATGAATATTTTCATCTTTTTTGTGTCTCTCGCGTTCAGATACTCTGCACACTTAAGTATGCCCAGCATCTCTGCTTGAAAGACGGTTGAATGATGGCCCAGCGGAAAACTCTCTCCGAAGCCATCTTTCAGACGGTAGATGCCTGCCCCAAAACTTTCATTGAAGCCAGAGCCGTCCGTAAACCAGTAGTCCTCTCTTGGTCCTGGTTTACGTTTCGAGTCTAGCCACTCCTGTCTGGGTGGTATACTCGTTCTGAAAGTTTTCCTGATCTGATACTTCCTAGGAATCCTATCCGTCTTACCTATGAAGGGTCGATCATTGATTAGGCTAAGCCTTGTATGGCCTTGGCCCGTCATCTTCCATTCTAGTTGACACCTTAGTCTATATGCAGTTGTGGCAGCACAACTCACAAGCCTAAGGTCGAGGGGTGGGATACTGAGTGCTATTTCTAGCGCCTCAGTAGGTGTCGATTTCATGGCTCCTGTTGCAGCCCTCAGGAAGGTTCCCTGTAGGCTTTTCAACAGGTTCCTTGTTTCCGTCTTACTCACCCTCGGCCACCAGACGACCGCAGCGTATAACAGTCTCGGAAGTAGAACTATTTGGTAGAGCCAGAGCATCATTTTAGGATTGAGTCCCCATGTCCTGCCCACAGCTCTCCTGCATGCCCACATAGAGGCAAACACTTTATTTCTCTGAGTACAGATATGTTCTTTCCAGCTGAGTTTATTATCCAGGAGGACACCCAGATATTTCACTCTGCTGGTGTAGTTAATCTCCGAGCCATTTAGCTTCAGAGGTTGGATTTTTCCAGTTTATAATTTCTGGTGAAAACCAGGACCGTTGTCTTGGCTGGATTTACCGATAGGCCAATTTCCCTGCATCAGTCCTCAATGATATTGAAGGCTGTTGCCATCAGGTCCCTTAGCACCCTCAGAAATCCGCCTTTCACAACAACTGCCACATCATCGGCGAAACCGATGACGTGGAAGCCGATCTCACTTAGTTGATTTAGAAGTCCGTCTACAACCAGGTTCCATAGCAGGGGCGAGAGAACTCCCCCCTGCGGACAGCCCCTAGTCGGACGTCCCTCCACTTGATTTGAGTAATTGTTTAATGATAATTTGTAGATGCTTACAATGAGTTGATTTCGTAATTTATTATGGGTTTACCTTTGATGGATCGCAGTCTAAAAGTTTAATTGATTAAGTTTGAACATAATAAGGATAATCAAACGAGGACGGCTTGATATAATTTGTTATTGCACCTTCAATGTTAATATCTGAAGCTAATTAGGTTATTTATAAATGATTGGAATTGAAATAAATCAAAATGTGTGGATTGTGTTGATTTTTCATGTAAAGAGATATGGTTTCATTTACAAGTGATTTTGAATTGTTCCTAAACTCACGATAATTAATATCATTTAAATCACTTCAATATTTCACGAAATATAATTAATTCAAATATTATGAACGGCGGAGATGGAATATCGGATGGCGAATATATTCTATGTGTCTCGACGGACTGCTAGAACAGAACTGATCTGAATTTTCACAGGCGTGCTACGACACGTCTCTTTCTGTTGGTAAGTTTCGAACAAAGGGCCTCTTTGTTCGCACATATCGGGTGTTTGGTTGTTTCCGAGCGAGAAACTGAAGTAAGCTACCATCAGTGAGAGTTTCAAAAACTTTGATAATATTCAAATGTTACAATTTCGTATAAAATTTTACGATTTAAGTGGACACACTTAAAAATCGTTAAAAATTAAAATAAAATCGTTAAAAATTAAATAATTTAAATAATAATTTTGAATAATTAATTAACTGTCAATCAAATTTCCGAAATATACCGTTTTGAAATGAAACAAGTCATTGAACTGATTAAATATCTGTTACTTGATGAGTAGTTCTATTAATAAATCATAATTACACCCTTAATGAGTTTTGATCGAAGGTATTTTTGGACTCCGTATAACTCTTACCCATGTTTATTCATAATAGATTTTGTTCGTCCTTAAATGATCGATAATCCCAGTAGGCTGTCACCTCACAACTCAAAATTACTCTATAACACTAGTGGCTTTATTCTCCCAAATCCCATTGAATCAATTGACAGCTACAAAGCTTCATTCATAGTTGAAGCGAATTGATTCAGTAACACATTTCGCTTGCATTGAAGCACTTAAGCTTCTGCAAACCTCTAATCCGAAGCTTCAAACTGAACTGCGTGAACACAAAACACACATTCGACCTATACCCCCCGATCGCATGCACTATAAATAATTATTCGATGTTGTTGTATCCCAAAAATTTCCAGACTTGCAAGTGGTTTCACACCATGCCAATCAAAATATGCAGAGTCAAACGATGTAAACGAAAATAAAACAGGAAAATCCTCGGGTCGGCATAAAGATGAGAAATTAATATTTCTGGGTAGTTTTAGAATCTGCTTACTACGAGCTATCATTTCCGTACTTTATTTCACCTTCCGTACTATGGTTATACTACTTCGTAGAGGATCTCTATATATAACCACACCCAATGGCGCAATACGGATGGAGAAATATGACGCTTAACAGAAATGTGAGTAGAGGATGAACTGTTCAATATGAAAACAATTCAATCACATGAATGTCGACAACTCGTTCCATCAATTTAACATCAGAATTTGTAAGTTAGATGAAACAGTTTCTGATCAGCTAAATCGAAGATAGAAGCCTCAATCAAAGATGAATAAAAATAAGAAAAGTCAATACAAATTTCAGCTTCAAACACTAAAACATTCGACTGGGTTGCTGGTCGCTCGTTCCCATTGAGAGTGGGTTGAAATTCGATAAAGTTGTTGGTCACTCGCTTTGCTCACTCCCATTGCGTGCATGTGAGCTGGAGTGCGTGTGACCCATTACGGGTCCAACCAATAACTTCCCGAGCAATTCCCAATTTTCTGTTTATTATAAAAAAAAACAAATTTTGAAATTTTCATCCGGCTAACGAGAAAACTGCTGAGATTATTTTGCCCAGCATCCAATCAAAATCGAATGACATGTAGGTTAGCATGGCCTATTTTACGGGTATTCCTGAATATTTCCGATTTCGCATCAAAAAATGATTCTTCAGTTGATAAAATACCCCTGTGAATTTTTCCATATTTTTAAACTGCATTTTGATGGTTGCGCCGTGTGTTTAAATTTTGACTGACATTTTTGACCTACTGGCACTAGACGTCATAAAACTTGGGTAGAAGTTAAATATCCTCAATGATACACCCGTGTCACGTAGTAAGTATGGCTACGGGTGAGGGTTCGGGTGTCACCCAGGTAATATGTATCTTTCAGTTGCAAACAGTATCCGGAAAAGGCTTTAGAAAAGGAGAAACCTATTGTTAAGGTACTAGTAACTAATGTTTTTTTAATGGACACGTAGATCCAATTTTTTCAATGGTTTTTTCCATTTCGAGTGGGGCGCATATAAGAGAAACACTTAAAAAACCTTTCAAAGGCCTTTTTACTGATTTGTGAGAAAATAGTCAACTTTTTTTCAATTTTTTATAAAATTTATTTTCAAAGTTCTCAACAAGTTCTACATTTTTTGTCTTAGGTGTATTCTTGTTTAATCATGTCCTGAACTAGTAATTTCAATGAGTTTATAAATATTATTAAAAAATGGAAGTACTAGTGGCTTTTTTTCTTATATACCGGCCGGTATTTTGTAACATTTAGATGAAATTTTGTAAATAGTTTCCATGTTTTTGGATGATTCATTCATAAAAGAAGGATAATAAAGGACAAACCTGTGATAACTGGTTCGTCAGTAGCGCTACAGTTGGCAGAATGGGGGTAAGGCAAACCCACACTAATGTCAAGAAGTGGTCGAAGAGAAGATTCCATTCATTAGATCAGCGAAATAATCCTTCAACATTTCATATAACAATTTTTTAAAAACTTCGCCTTCTTTGTTTTTTTTGTATTCTTTAGTCTGATTATTCTGGATATACAGTAGACTCTCGTTATAGTCGCATTCGTTATAGTCGCATTTCCCCTCATATCGATTTTTTCGAGCTCGAGCGCTTCCCCCACTCTGTACCACCTTCGAGGTGTGGATTTAAATGCCCCTGTGTTTTCTCGGAATGGGCTTTGTTTTGCATTTCTAAGAAATTCGGGAAATAAAATTTAGGAAAAATGAATTTGCGAGAGAGAAATTCAGTTCACTCTTGACTGTCACGAAGAGAGGGTCTTTGCAGTGGTGCATAATCCTGCTTTTTATTTGAATGAAGTGAATAAATTTTGGAGTGTATTGAACAATGGACTTGGATAAAGAAAATGACAGGGCGACTTCCATTAAAAAAGTTGAAAGAAGAGTTAACGTGAGCCTAGCTACTAAGACAAATGTTATACAACGATTGAAGAGTGGTGAAAATGTTAATGATCTATGTCGTGAGTGTGGAGTACATCCTTCAACTGCCAGAAAGTGGATAAAAAAAGAAAAAATTATTCAGGATTTCTGTGATGGAAATTCACAATTGAATCGTAAAAGGCTGCGCGATCCACACAATCCTCAACTGAATGAAGCGATAAAAATATGGTTTGATCATTGCCGTGAGCAAGGGATTCCCATCAGCGGTCGTTTCGTTCAAGGGACAGCGAAGGCACTGAATATAAAAATGGGAGGAAATGAAAAGTTCAGTGCGAGTGATGGTTGGTTAACTCGCTGGAAGAATCGTTATAAGATTACGTCGTTCACAATTTCGGGAGAGAAATTATCTGCAGATGCACCAGCTGCTGAACGATTCAAAGGTATATTTGAGAAATTCATCACAGAAGAAAAATTAGCTCCTTGCCAGATTTTCAATGCTGATGAGACGGGGTTGAATTTTAAAATGTTGCCAAAGAAAACTCTGGGAGCTCGTCAGGACCATGGAGCAAGTGGCCACAAGATGAATAAGGATCGTTTGACGATTATGCCCTGCACTAATTACGATGGATCATTGAAATTGCCTCTTTTAGTCATTGGGAAGTCAGCTAAACCTCGAGCATTAAAAAACGTATCTTACGATACTTTAGGTATAACTTACAGACATCAAGCAAAAGCTTGGATGAATTGCTCAATTTTTGAAGATTGGTTGAAAACAATTTTCGCTCCACGTGTTAAGGAATTCTTATTGAAGAGAGGTTTATTACCCAAAGCTGTTTTACTGCTTGATAATGCTGGCTCTCATTCCAAGGATCTTAATGAAGATGGAATTCGAGTGATTTTCTTACCTCCAAACGTAACGTCACTCATTCAACCACTGGATCAAGGGATTATTGAGAATTTGAAAAAGAATTATCGATTTCACTTCTTACTGTCATTGATAACTGAACAAGAAAAGGGAAAATCACTCGTGGAAAGTTTGAAGGAAATAACAATTAAAAATGTTATTGATTGGATTGCTAAGAGTTGGGATGATATCAGTTCATCAACAATCCATAAGTGCTGGAAACCCTTAATTGCCGAGACATTTGGGAATCAACTCCAAGTACACGTGGAGGAACAGCAGATACAAATGTGTGAATTTTTAAGCATGTTCATACGTCTGCAAAATGCTGGCACAATAAATGAGGATGAGGTGAGAGACTGGGTGGAGACAGCGGATAAGGGTGATGAGTCCCACGAGCTTCCGGATGATGAAATTATAAGTCGAGTTCAACCAGCGATTGATGATGTTGTGATGAACGTGGAGAAGGATGGAGATGATTCCAAAATATGTGAGGATGGTCAACCTGGAGAAGAAAACACCCTAGAGTCTGATAACTGTGATCAGCCGACTAATAATGAGGAACTCTCGGGTTTAATTATGGGCCCGGATGCTGCGATTGAGGCTGTGGATTCCTTGTTGGACTTTTTCGAGTCGCACGGTTCATTAACGCCTGAAGAAATGACGGTTTTATGGAATGTGAGGTACAAAGCTGCTGTAATTAAATATAATTCTTGATGAAAAAAAAAATGTTTATCAGAGTATAAATATTTATGCGATGTTATTAATATTTTTATTCATTTCATTAATTTACTAAAAGTGTTCAACGCAATTCATTTTGTTAATTTAATAAAAGTGTTTAATGAAAATAATTTTTATATTTAATAAAAATGTTCAATGCAAATTGAAGAGAAAAATAATTGGAGTAAAATTTATCTTCTTATCGCTCCCGATTCCCGGAATTTAGGCTTACCGTGAGCGCCTGGTGGGGGAAGAGAACACTGCAGCCCCGTGAGTGCGACTATAACGAGAGTCTACTGTATTGAGAATTGGATAGCCCTCATGGGCAAAATATACTTTTCATCACGCTGTGACGAAAAGTAAACTTTTCGGCACGCTCCGCGTGCCTAAAAGTCCAATTTCCGCCACATTGTGATAAAATAGTATATTTCGTAACGAGTGCAAAAAAGTGTTTTTTGGCGAGTGGGAGGTTTATATCACGAGCCGAAGGCGAGTGATATAATCCCACGAGCTAAAAATATACTATTTTCACAAAAATAAACATGCAATAAAATGCCCAGGGTCTTTGCCTAGGTTCAATTTCTGTACTTACTGGAAATTTAGAAATTATCTTTCGCATTTTTTTCAGAATTCAATTGGTGGGGAACAAAATTATTTTCTTTGAATTATTGTCAGATAGTTTCAAAATCCATCAACCGAATCGGGATGAAAAATTCCCAGATACCCAGCATGCTAGAGCGTCTAAAAATCACTGAATTGAGTAGAAATGAGGATTTTCATTTTGATAAGTGATAAGTTTTCTGTTGAGACAAAAATTAATTCTGTTCTTAAACCTCCCTCTGAACGGTTCACGGAGGGGAAACACCGAGGGATGTAATAATTGAGTCTTTAAAAAATTATTGACACATTCGATCTCTACGATGCATGTAAAAGTCCATAAGAAATAAAACTACACGGCGCAACCTTGAAAAATGATTCAAAAATTTTGACAAAATTCACATGTACTTTCCATGTCTTTGGTTATCCTTATCAAACACGAAAATGATGAAATTCAATTTTTTTTACATATGAGCCATCCTAATGTAGGTGTATCAATCGCACCAAAAAAATCAAATCCCATCATTATTCTCGACAAAATTCTTGAATTTTCAAAGAAAACCAATTTTTCAAATATTTTTCTCGCACGTTTCTATACAGTGGCATATAAAAACTACGTTCCAATAAGTAAAAAACTATTATTATTCAAATTATTATTATTCAAATTCCTGGAAAACCATGTCGCCTCACTTCTCCATTTTCGCCACGTAATTTCTCCTGAAATTTCCCTCCATGATATTTTGCTTGTTTTTTTTTTAATTTTTGGGAACGTCTTTCCTCCATCCAATTATGCAAATTTTCCAATTTAATAGATAAGATTTCTGTGAGTTTATTCCCATGTGTTTTTTTCCATTAACGGTATTCCCAATGGAATAGGGTTGGCACGTGAAACGAAAATTTTTTTATGAATAGATAAAACTCGGCGTCATTCTGCATTGAATAATTAACACTGAGTGGATTTTTGTGCACGAAAATTACTCCCAATAGCACTACTCGGAGCGAACTCTACCTTTCCTGTGTGTGGCAACGCTTACTTTTCAAGATTGGTTGCGTGTAATTTACGGTCACTCAAGTCATGATGGATTGCGCATGAATCACTTAACTAAACTTCTTCATTCACACGTCGAATTCATTATGTAAAAATACCCACGGACGGAGAATACTCACTGCACTACGGCGCATACATTTTTATTCCGAAGAGAAAAGTGTAGGAGAAATGTAGCATAAGATTGACGTACATATTCTGTGTAATTGCACCTCTGCAGTGTTGCATCCTAATTGCAGGAAGAAATTGGGAGGGGCAGGGGGGCAGGGAGGGAGTGCATATATTTCAGGCCGATAAATTTTGTTTACTGAATATGTACTATGTTTTTTGATCCACTGAATCCGAAAATCGAGGTCTCCGGATCGGATTTCTGTGAGTTTTTTTTATTATTAATAAGTTATTAATAAACAAATAAAATTCGACTTTTCCGGTCAGGAAAAAAACAAGCAGGGATTCGAGCCTTTTTGGCCGAAGCCACCCGAGTGGAAATTGCTTCAGGCCCACCTGAAGCACGATCAGAACTTGATCAGGTTTTTGTAAGGTTCGACTGATCCGGTGATTCCTTATGAGAACCTGACCAAGTTCTGATCCAGCAGATCGGATCCGAAAAACTATAGGCGGGTTCAGATCAAGTTCTGATCAGGTAGACATGAGCAGATGATGCCTGATGAGAACCTGACCAAGTTTTGATCCAGCAGATCGGATCCGACAAACTACAGGTGGATTCAGATCAAGTTCTGATCAGGTAGGCACGATCTCACCCTAAGGTCGGCTGCCTGACCCCAAATTGATCAAATTCGGATTTGATGTCTTTGATCGGCATTTGAAAGGGGTCAATTGAAGAGAAAATAATCAGATTCAGATCCGCTCCACCTGACATTAATTTTAATAAGTTTTTCGGATAACTTAATTAACAATTATTATACTATTCAAATTAACTTTTATCAACCATTATCAATAATTGTTTTCAATCTTTAAAAAGGATCATTATATTATCATTAAAATAAATTGAATTAAATTAATTTAATTTAACGAATTTAATTCAATTAATCAATTTAATTAACAGCCAGCCCTTCTCAAATGTACAGAAGGGAGGGATGATGATGCCGTAAATACATATTAGAGTAGTATCAAACTTATACGCAGATGATCTTGAGAAAAAAATCACCAAATGTCTATTTATTTATTCGTGTTATTGTTATTATCATTATTATTCATTAATGAAATAAATAAAAATTTAATTGAACATATTTTATCTCTGAGAATACACACGCATATCCGCGAGATCAGGGATAATCGTAAATTCAACGAATACTCCGATACAAATCATATAGGCAATGTACAGTTTACTCAATAGTAATAGCACGATAGCGTAGTGGTTAGGGTATAGGATTAGCAATCATAGGGTCCCCGGTTCGATCCCCAGCATCGGTAAAAAAATAATAAGCTTTTTCAGAGGTAATAACAGTAGAGATTCATTAATAGAGGCGGCCTACGGTGAAAGAATTGAATTATCTTTTGTTTTGGATTAATTATCATTGATAACTCTTATTGATACTGACAGCTCATCCGGTTTTCATACAGTTGACTTGATCAAGTTCGGATCCATTCGTCCTGATCAAATCCGGATTGGTCAGAGGCGTAACATGTCTGATCAAGACCGGATCCGTCAACTTGATCAATACCTGATCAGTGGTCAGGTCTAACCTGATCCATACTGGATCAAGACCTGACCGGAATTTCCACTCGGGCATCTGACCGTTACTTTATGTGTTACAACTCTTTTTCTTTCTTTCATTTCTACCAATTCCATTGGTAGTAAGCTTCCGAATAGATCTGTAGTAATTCTATTAAAGAAAGAAAAAAAATGGAAACACCACACTTGATCAGATTAGATACCAACAATGTCAGTGGAAATAACTGCCTCCTGCCGAAAAAACAGAAAAACGGAAATATCTTGAAAACTGTGTATGAACGGGTATATATGTTTTGATTGATTCGGATAGAAGGCATCGAAGCAAACATTTTGAGAAAAAAAAATTGAAATCGGTTGCGTAGTTTTTAAGCTATTGCACATAAAATGTTTCCCNGACTATTTTATGTCATAGGGCCCAGAATCCGCGATTCTACCGAGCGAAGCGAGGTTAGAATCGCGTGATTCTGGGCACCTATGACATAAAAACGAATATCTTTTTCTCAAAAACTATTTCNTAGATCTGTAGTAATTCTATTAAAGAAAGAAAAAAAATGGAAACACCACACTTGATCAGATTAGATACCAACAATGTCAGTGGAAATAACTGCCTCCTGCCGAAAAAACAGAAAAACGGAAATATCTTGAAAACTGTGTATGAACGGGTATATATGTTTTGATTGATTCGGATAGAAGGCATCGAAGCAAACATTTTGAGAAAAAAAAATTGAAATCGGTTGCGTAGTTTTTAAGCTATTGCACATAAAATGTTTCCCGAGAAAGTCGAATATCTCGGAAACTACCTATGCGATTGAGCTTATTTTCAATAGGAAGGATTGTTACCATGAGAGGAAGATTCTGTCCAAATTTCAAGTGGATATCTCAATTTTTGCAAATATTTTGAAAAAAAAATAGAAATTGGTTGCGTAGTTTTTAAGATATTGCACATAAAAGGTTTTCAGATAAAGTCAAATATCTCGGAAATTACTCATGCGATTGAGCTCATTTTAGATAGGAAGGATTGTTATCATGAGATGAAGATTCTGTCCAAATTTCAAGTTGATATCTCAATTTTTGTACAAGCTAGAGTGATTACAAGGATTTTTATGAAAAAACAGAAAAACCGAAATTTCTCGAAAACTTTGTATGAACGGGTATATATGTTTTGATTGATTTGGATAGAAGGCATCAAAATGAATATTTTGAAAAAAAAATTGAAATCGGTTGACTAGCTTCGAAGATATTAGCGAAAAACGATTTAATAGTATATTACGCAACAAGTGCGTAATGGGTTTTTTGGCTCGTGGGAAGTTGTAAAACGAGCCGAAGGCGAGAATTCAAAGAATTCTAAGAGAATTAGAATTTAGAGAGAAAAAATTTCCGCTTCACCCAGCCGGGAATCGAACCCGGGTCTCCCAGATACGCGCCGGGCACTCTTACCGACTAAGCTACCGGGAACCACAATGGGTTTTTTGGCTCGTGGGAAGTTGTAAAACGAGCCGAAGGCGAGAATTCTAAGAATTCTAAGAGAATTAGAATTTAGAGAGAAAAAATTTCTGCTTCACCCAGCCGGGAATCGAACCCGGGTCTCCCAGATACGCGCCGGGCCCTCTTACCGACTAAGCTACCGGGAAAAAAAAAAATTCTAAGAGAATTAGAATT